CACACCTACTCCAATCAGTTTGCAATATCAATTAGTTAAATGCTTTTGAAGTGACTACAAACAGCTAATGACTTCAGCAATAAGCTTATATTTTTGGTAAATAATAATGACTGAATTTAGAAGCAGGGATGCTTAAGAGGCATTTGGCCAGATAATGTAGTTTCAGCAGTTTCTCTGCAATAGAGAGCAGTGGATCAAAAATCAGTTAAAAAACCCCAAGTAAAAAACCTACAACCCAAGTTTCACAGAAGTTAATTTTATTTCTTTACCATAGTAATACAGAGTCCCACACATGTTAAAAGTGTCTGCCATCCCTCACTGGCATTTTAAACTCTATTAAAACAGATGTTTCCACATGAGGAAAGGCATTACAGTGATATTTTGACTTCAGAGTACTTCAGCCTCTCCCCCTAGCACTGGAAAAAGTCTATAAGAAAAAATTACAGGCTAATACCACAACCAGAGTGTCAGTGGGGAAGGAAGGAGGGAACAGCTGTAGAACCCCTTCCTCCTGCTGTGTCCACAGAGGAGCTGCTTACAGAGAGCAAGAGCCCAACCAAAGTCAGTAACACCAATTAACAGGACCTGTCATAAAGCCCAAAGTCCTCAGAAACCCCTCCCCACTGAGTCTACCTGATGTAACTAAAATATTCAGCAGAAAATTTGGACTGAATTCAAAGAAGTGAAATCCTCAGACTTCTAACTAAAAACACTGAGTGATTTCTATGAGTGGGAAGCCCATGTCAGAAGGAAAGTTTCATCTTCTTGCTACTTTTTATTAACCCTTTCAGCAGCACATGTACAGAGCCCTACAAGCAAGGCAAACAGGAAACAAATTACCTTAAGAACACCCAACTGCCTCAGGTAATTAATTACCATAAGACAACCTGCTTCACAACTATTAAAATAACAAGCACTGACTGCTGACAGAAAAATGAAGAAATAGTGACCTTTTTAAGAGAACTCACACTATATTTCAGTAGCTAACACTAAAATAGAAGTGCTACTTGTTTATAAGAGAGAAGGTTTCCTTGGTCTCAAACAGTTAATTCAGCTGTCTATGTAGACCCGTTCACTGTGCCTGGAATTTTAACTCAGGCTACATTCCACAAATCCCAAATTGCAAATTTAAATTAACATTAGAGTGAAAACATGATACCTAGCAAAAAATAAAGGCAAGGGGGCAAGAGAAGACAGGCACAAGCAGGAACGTTGTATCCCAAGTGTCACTAACACCTGACGTCCTTCCGGTAGGTAACACCTTGGAGCTAGAAGAAATACGCTTTTGCCTTATTCAAAGGGACTTACAGTCTGCTTACAGTTCTTAGCCTGGTAGCAAAACTTTATATGAAAGTGTTACCTAATAGAAATAAAAAAGAGAGAAGAACCAACTGTAAAGCAACTGAAATAGCACTCTAACAAGTCAATCGACATAACCTTTTAGTAATGAACTCACTGTGACCAAGGCTGGCTTATATCTTCTCCTCACATGTACCTGACAGCATGCAGAATTTACCCAAATTCATACATTCCTCTTTTCACCATCAAATATGCATCTGAAAACCTGAAGGCATACTTGTATTATTTTCAGAACATCTATACTTTACGTTGATATCTTTTCTCACTCTGGGAAGGAAAGTTTTAAATATATTGTTTTACTTATCTCACAGCATTGCTGAAGAACAAGATATGTCACATTTAGTTTTGCTGTTTAATAAAAACTAAGACAATCCCGTAACATACATGAGAGAAGCTAAGAAAGCAACTAATCTTGCCTGCAAACCAACTCAGAACAAGAAAACCTTTGCTGATATTGAATCTATTTGAAGTCTACTCAGGAGTCTCACAAGAGCGTGGCTATGCAGATGACTGGCAAAAAATACCCAAACCACATCTCTCTTTCCTCCTCTTCATTTTTCTACCAAAAAAGAAGGAGAAGGGAAAGAAGTAGATGGGATGAGAGACTCCCAACCAGCGCTGTGTTTGTGCTGTATCACATTATCTCAACACTTTGTTAACTCTCCTGCTGCAGCAGAAGTTGTTTGTGTATTGGCCAGAGCTAAGGACAATGACACAGGGTAGTTTTCCTCAGGTAGGAAGTGCCAGATTTCCTTGTAGGTGGAGGCCTTAATGGCAGCACCAATCGGCTCTTTGCTGACCTCCTGTAGGGACCAATAAACAAGGCAGAAAAGGAACCAGCTCCAGAGTTAAGATGATAAGACTGTCTTTCCAACTAGAGTTAATGCACCAGGACAGCTCCCAAACACAGAGTAAGAAGGGGAAAGAAAGAAAAAACAAAAGTTTACAGTGTAAGATTAGCTGTATTAAGTTTTGCAAGAGATAAAAAGAAGAAAAGTTTACAGTACTCAGTGCCATAGCCCAGTATCATTAACTGGCATACTGGATGTCTAGTGCAATCTCTCTGTAATAATTTCATATTCTGTGGGAACATGGATAGGAAACAACATAAAAATTCTGTTATTTTTTTATACTACAAACAAGCCAGTTGCTTATGCATCCCCCCTATGCCCATTCCTCATTAACAGAAGATACCTATAAGAACCAAGTGCATTCTGCGACTTTGGGGAAAAAAGCCTCATACTTATTTATTTTAAAGGTTAAAGGGTTAACATTTTTTTTCTATGCATTTTCTTCAGTAAATATTTGCAAGTCAAACATAAACCCACTGCTGAGAAATCTCTATTATCCAGATTCTATTATCTAACCGATCCTGATGCTCCAATGCACAATGACTTAAGTTGGTTTTAATTCCTCAATAAAAGGAGCCAAAACCAGCCTAAACCAAGACACGCTACATTTTACATTACAGAACTAGTTGATAAAGACTCAGAGGCTTTACATAATAAAGTAGGTGCAGGAATGAGGTCCAAAAGTGATAAAGATGAAAGATACCTGGAATGATACCAGATCTTATACACCTTTTGTTTTCTGCAAGTGATACACGCTGCAGACAAAACGGTTTGTGCTAAACAGCCTTAAATCTGGTTTTCTAATATTAAGCACAAAGGAAAAACACTGACAGCAAGCGTGGTAAATAAATCCCTCCCTTGAGAATGAAAGCAGCAGACAGGAGGGGGCTGACATGCATGCAGGAGAAAACTAAACACCATCTTTTTTTTCTACCTGCACAAGTTGCCATTTGCTGCAGCAATCAAGGATCTTTTTCCCCCGTCGATTTCAAAAGCCAGGTTTTCAGAAAATTTCTCTCTCAAGTCATCTGTTGATATGCTTTAAGAGTATGGTATTCATATCACTGGATCTTTAAGAGAAAAATCCATTTTCTTTCCTGTTCAGGTAAACATGTTTACAGCTCCTGCACAGACGCTGGGTGGTTCAGACTCACATGTCACACATGTTGTCGTCAGCAACAAGAAAAGCCCCTTTCTCTGATCATCCACATTTTTAATAAGGCAAAGAGAAAAGCACTTTCCAAACTTACCTTTAGCACAGCCAAATCATGAGCTAAATATAAATATTTACACTAGGACAAGGAATTAATAACATGAGCGTGGAAACAAGAGTACTTGCTAGAAAACGCACACAGCAAAAATAAGAAAACCCTTTTAAGTTCAACGCAATCAAACGAACCCGTTAGCCCCTGGAAAGGCCGTCATTTATCACCACGTTATGCCCCGAACAGGGAGGATTAGAAAGGTGAAGCACCGATGGTGACTCCGATCTATTTCGGAGACCGTTCACTGCATATGAAAACATCTCAGATCGCAGGCAAAGCCTTCCTATCTGTGACCCTGCACAGGAAATGCCACATAAAACCTAAAATTGCCAAGGAGGGTTACAAAATCGCCTACTCTACATCCTATTCCGAAGAGTCGTGCTACGAGGACCGAACTACTTCTCCATTTTCCAGAAAATAAGTAGAGAGTGGGTGTTACGAGCCTTTATTCCCCCCGCCGTGTACCTTCCCATTGCATCTTAAAGTAACACACGTACCAAAGGGGAAAAAAACCACTACCCCACAGCAGCCCTTAAGCCTGAAATGTAAATGTAATTCCTTATATAGACTGCAGCAGCTGGTCACACACGCACGGAGAGCGGAGCGGGGGCCCCCGGCCAAACCGTTACCACCCATTATTATACAAACAGGTACCTCCGAAGCCAGAGGGAAGGGAAGAAACTTCGCCGCCCGCCCCCGCCGCCCGGGCGCAGCCCTCCCTTCCCCACCGGCCCGGCGGGGCGGCCGCGGGGCGCCGCCGGGCACCAACTCTCGGCGGGGCGGGGAGGCGCGGAGCGGGCGGGCGCGGAGCGGGGGCGCCGGCCCGGGGCGGCCGCGCTGCCCCCGCGCGAATCGCCGCCCGCTGCGGCGGCCGTGCCTCCCCCGCGTGTGCTCCCGGGTGTGTCCCCTCGGGGCCGGCCGGCGTCCCCCACCGCCGCCCCGAGAAAGGCGAGCGCCAGCCGGGGGCGAGGAGCCGGCCCGCTGCCGGGCGAGCGGGGAGGAAACTCCGGCGGGCGGCAGAGGCGCTCCCGGGCGGGCGGCGGGGCGATCCCGCCCGCGGGGCCGGGGGGAGGCCCCGCTCCGCCCGGGGTAGCGCGCAGGTAACAAGTTTCGGAGTTGGGGCTGCCGCGGCCGGGCGGGCGGCGGCCGCTCCCCCGCCGCTCCCCGCGGGGCTCCGCGTCCCCGCCCGGGCCGGAGGGCGGCGGCGCGGCCGGGGGCCCCCGAGCCCGCTGCCGGCGGCGGGGCGGTCGCGGGGCTTGAGGGGGAAGCAGCGTGTAACGGTCCCGGACAGCGGCGGAGTGCGGAGGCACCGCTAGGCGGAGGAGGGAGGCGGCGGCGAGGGAGGCTGCAGGTAGCGGATATAACGGTGCGGAGGGAGCCGCGCTCCCGGCGAGCCGCGGCGGGGGAATTACTTTGGCGCCCGCCCGACCTCCCCCCTGCGCGCTCGGGACGGCTGTGCCCGGCCCCCGCCCCGGCCCCGCCGCCGCCCCAGCGCGGCCGCGGCGCTGCCCCGCGGGTGACTGACCGTTGTTGCGGCGCGGGTTCGGCTGCTTCCTGCGCTTACACCTGGGGCCATCCGCCATGATCCGCTCGCTGGTGTCTAAATGCTCCAGTCACCTCCTCCCCCGCCCGCCCCCCTCACTCCCTCCCCTCCCCCCCGGACCTGGTTTACGACACTGGGTGGTTTTACTTTTACATCACCTTCCTACACCTAGTGCTCGCCCGGAACCTTGTTGCCACGGGAGACGGGCGCTTTACGGCAGCGCGTTTGAACGGCGGCGAGGGAAAAGTTGCGCCCGCAGGTACCGGGAGCGACGGCGCCGCTCGGGGGGGCTCGGGCCCCCCGACCCCCGCGCCGGCGGCAGAGCGGGGGGACCCCCGCGGGGCGGGGCGGGGCGGGGCCGGGCTGGGGGCGTCGGTGGTCGCCGGCCCCCGGGGCGGTGCAGCAGGATTCCCGCGGAGCAGCACCGCAGCGCCGCGCTGAGGGTCCGGCCCCGCGCCCGCCCCGCTGCCAGGTGCGGCCCCGGCAGCCGCCCCCAGGTGCGGCGGGGCCGCGCTCCCGGCCCGGCTCCCCCGGCCCGCGGGGCTGTCCCGGCGCGGGGCCGCGCTCCCGGCCCGCGTGGCTCGCACCTGGCGGGGCGCGCTGCGCTGCGGGCGTGCCCGGGCTCACCGGGACTGGCGGGAGCGGCCGCTGCTCTGGCGGGGCTGAGCGGGAACCGACAGCTGCAGCGCAGGGACGCCGTTCCCACCGTGCGCCAAGTCTGCCGCGCTCGGGCTTTCCGTGTCATACTTCCCGGTTTTACAGAGAGGAGGAGAAGTATAAAATTCTGTGCCTTTACGAATAAAAAGAAGAGAGCAATTTTTCACGGATAATTAATAAGCAAGCTCTGTTGTGCTTAATAAACTTATTTAATATATATAAAAATTAAAACCATCAAACACTTGTGCTATTTATTTACTCTTGCTTTTCACTTCAGGCAATAAAATAATTAAGAGAGTTTGCTTCTAGGCTTCCTTATTTCTCTTTTTTTTTTCTTTATCTTGGCATGATTCTGTAGAATTTATAGTTCTGTGCTTCTGGGGAACTCTTTTATCTAAAGAAATTAAATGTAATTAAATTAAATTTCAGTGAAAGCATTTCTATTAATGGGATACTTTCAATAAGAAATTGATACACTACAGAACTTGAGGTCTTCAGCTGTTCTACATTGTCCTATTCCACATGCTATATATTCACATTCTGTAGCAGGTCACCTCATTTCATGGAAGCAGCATAACATGTCTATAGGAAATGAACTATGGAACACTGCCAGTTTATGGACATACCTATGAGCATCTGAAGCTCCCACAAAAGTCTGGACAATCAGAAGTGCTTAGAAAAGAAGTATTGGGCTAAAACAGGTGCAGATTTAGGTAAAGATCCAAAGGGATATTTTCCTAATCAATTGTACCCTCAAAAACCCCCAAGCCTTGGCTTTGGATACTTACATGAAAGCAGTGGTTGCAGTTGCCAATCATTTGATACTTCTCAAAAAATCCTTAAGTTTAGGTGTATTGTTTTTACATACACCTAAACTTAGTGATGGTTGGCTGCTGACCTCAGCATTTTAATAAGGATCTGCCTAAGAGGGATGAAAGAAGTAAATCAAACAGTACCAAGTGCTTGATGGACTAACAGGAGTTGTTCAAAAGCATTAGATTTGGCATCAGCTGGGACTACTGAACCCCAAATATGAGGATGGCTAAGAACTGCAACATGAAACCAACTATAAGATAAAAGTGAAACTTGTCAGCTCAAATTTCAAGTGAGCGAATTACAAATTTTAAGGCAGAGTTTTGTTTTTAGTTCAACATCGTTGCTTGTAAAGTTTCTGTGCAGAAGATAACCTGTGGCTGTGAAACTGTTTGCAAATGAGTGCTTAAGGTATTTTGGAATTGTTAGATGCTTTTTATCATTCTGTGGATGAATTTGAGGACGAACCAAAATATGATGTACAATTCTTCATGCAAAGTTTTTACTTCCTTAAATTTAGTCATGTTCTTAGAAGGTAGTTGCAAATAATAAATAATATCTGTAAATATATTTGCAGATCTGTAAGAATATTCTCCTGCATGCCCACACAAAGTTCCAGGCCCTCTTTAAGCAACCTTGAAGAGCTTGTTTTCATTGAGTCTTGTTACTTTTCACCTCTGGATAAAATTCTTGTCTCTTCCTTTTGAGCAATTTATGTTTCCTAAGAGAATGAGAAGAGAAACAGTCTCCTGGTGTTTGTTGTGCTTATTTTTCAAGAGCCATAGTGTCTGTTTGAACTGGAATCTCCTGAGGTTTCCAAGCAGCTGAGAGAAACTGGTGACAACTCCTGCTGCCCATTAGTTCCTGAAGAGCAGAACTGAAACTGGCAGGAACATTGGTAGCTGTACACTGCTATAGTTTGGATAAATGAGAAGAGAAAAACAAAGCAACCTTGGTGTATGTTATCTTTGAGACCAGGGAGGTCTAGAAAATAAAAAAAAAACCCAGAGATTAATGTTTTGCATCAAGTTATTGATGACTCCAATCACTATTCATGGTGAAAAGTGTCTCATTCACAACTTGTAAATAGATATGTAGACAGGTTGGGTTGTTGGGGTTTGAATTTTAAACTTCGTCATATTTAATCCAAGCAACTGGGCACTTCACATCTTTGTATACAAAGTTCTAATTATTTACTGTGCTAAATTAAGGGTGCAGCCACTGTAAAAGAATTTTTACATCCTTCTAATTCTGGATGCAAAGCAACTAGTTAAAATTCCTGTTACATTTGTCATGTTCTGCAGGACGTGAGCATGTTGTATATGTAATTTAAACTGGTTTGTGCTTCAAGAATGGAAAATCTGGTTTTCCATTATGATGCACAGCTTTCAGTCTGACTTGTCAGTCAAGGAGGCAGGAATTAATTAAGATGTTCATTTGCAAAATCTTAGTGAAGAGGTATATTTCTGCATCCTCCTAAATGTGGCAGTCTTGAGAAGATATCTCTTTAAAGGAGGAATTCTGAGAGAGTGGTCATCCATAACAATTTCTAGTAACATAATTTGTATGGGAATTTAGGCAACCTGAATAGGTTATTGTAGTTAAAACATGGGATTGCACAGCTGCTGTACTTCACCTTTTTTGAAATTTATTTCCATTGTCTGAAGACAAGAATTAAAATATTTCCATACTCACACTATGATGATGTTGTATGCATGTGCAAAAACCAGGTAGTGATTCTTACAGACAGTTTTTTTCCATTTTAAAAATGTTCCTGTATGTTGTGTTTTGATTTATGATCTCTTAAGTATGTATCATTAAATAAAAGCAATCAGTCCTTTGTTTGTATTCCTACTCCTTATTGATGCTTATGATGTTTCCCATTGTATCTTGATTATTCTAGATTTAAAGGTGTTAATTTAGTTTCAGGAATTGAGAATTACAATGGAAAACAACTCACTGTTGTTTCTTGTGTATTGTTTCTTGTTTTATTTCTGATTTGTGGAGGTTCTTATTATCTTTTTTTTTTTTCTGATTTCCATTAGTGAAGCTTTGTTTTCAATTCTACGTATTTCTTGGAATCTCAGTTCCTAAACTTTATTTTTCAGTTAATGATTTTTTCTTTTTGATTTTTTGTTAAATGCACTTTTACCCCTCTATAGGAATTGTAGTTGAAAGATTTGTTAGGAGAACAGTGACACAGAAATACACAGTTTGCTGCAGCTGAGGAACTAATCTTGAATAAAGTGTTAATTGTTGAGGTAACAACATAGAGGTGTAATGCCCTTTCAGATGGTCTTCCAATTTCTATTTATGCTTCCAAATGAATCAAATAAGTTTTGAAGGTATACCCTGGGATGCTGTACAGTCTCAAAAAATGGTAAAGCTGCTTGAAATTTTCCCATTCATTTAGAGCAGACTGTAAATATTTATCATGGGAAATTACCTTTTTTTCACTTTCCTCATCTCATAATTTTGTTTTCTGTTTTCATACTTTACCCTTAATTTACTTGTACTTTTAAAGCTTGAAGCTTATGAGGTCTAATAAATTGTCATGTCTTTGCACAACTTGAGGAGATTGGACCTGCTTGAAAGATGTAAGTGTGAGGGTGTAAACTCTGCCATAAATCATCAAAAAGTACATAGCATAGATAGCTATAATGACTTGCACATATGCAACTGACTTTTCTAACATCTTCCTTATTAAGAAAAAGTGTTTGTGAAGGTCATAAAGGCTTTCAAACCCATTTTGTTTCTCTTGCTCTCCCTTTGCCCTACTTGTTGCATATTGTTTTTCTCTTGAAAGTAATTAACCTGTGCTGATACCTATGTCAGGTTAGTATGCTGCAGAAAATGAATGTACTAGAATATAACAAGGACCTACTCTTCCATTCTTATACTAATTTTAACTTTCATTGTGATCTCTGTTTCAGAGCCTTCACACAGCAAAAAATGATCTGAGAAAAAACTTGAAAAGGTCATTTCACATTCTTCACCCAAAAGGCAAATCTCATCTATTCAAAACGGAATAGGAATGAAAATTTGGATATAAGTGGTGGATAGTGAACAGTTGTGGGGGTTTTTTGTTTGTTTTCAAAATACCTGGAACTTCAGATGAAAATGTCTGCTTCAACACTTTATTTTCTACCACTAGATGCAGTAGCAAAGTGCTGCTCCAAAATACTATTTTAAAGAAATTGCATCTGAAGTTGTGACTGATCAACTTACACTTGTAGTGAAGTTAGATTGCCCGCTTTTAATAGCAGCACATTTTCCATTCATCTTTATTTATGATGACTCTGCTAAGTGTTCTTATCCTTTATACTAATTAAACACTAATGTGTTGTGAATATTTTCACATATGGATCATGTTTGTTTACTTCTGTAACTTCCACTCTATTTCTGATTTAGTTCTGCTCCCCAGCCCTTTTGCTGTTTGCCGTCTCACAGTTTTGTGCAGTTGCTCATTTGGCTCTCATTTGGGGTTATTCCCTTTGTTATGATGTCTGTACAGCTCTTTAAATCCCAACTTAAAATAATTTCTTAATTATTTCATTGCATAGTCTTCTC